TTCCATAGTATGAAATTCAGGCTTGCAGTTTTTAATAAGCATTTGCAACTTGTTTATTTTTAAAGCCACCTGTGTTATTGGACACCTTTGTATAGGCTTAGACCCTAACAAAGATTCTACTGGTGGGAACATCCTGTGAGCAGAATTCTTCTAATGGGATGCCCTTGCCAGCAAAAGGGAGGCCGCATGTTTTGCTGATCTCCCGTCCCCACATAATCTCTTTGCCTGGAGCAGTCTGCTCATTCGCCACACAGAGACCTTTGGCTCAGATGGTACCACAGGAAAGGCAGTGGATTTGGGCACCCTGACTCTAGTCACCCACCTGCTGCTGTTTATGTAAGTGCTCCTACAAAACTCACTGGTCGCCACACCTTTTTTTGCTTTTTGCCTCTTGCCTCCACCCTGTGTAAAGAATCCTCTTCTAGTAAAAGCATCTGGAGATGAGGGTATTTTGATCCCATACAGCCCTTGGGATGGTATTCATTAATGATTAAAAGTTGTTGGGGTTTTTTTAAAAAATGAAGGGAATGATTAAGCTTTTTTATTCCTGGAAAAGAAGGGGGTTTGAACATTTGAACAAAAGTGCTATTTTTCTAGAAAAAGAGGTGTTGGAACTCACCATAAATGCCTTCCTTGTTCTGTCCACCTGAGAGGTGCCGGAACTGAGTTCCAGTGAGTTCCAGCTGAAAAAAGCCGTGGATGTGACATACACCTACAAAAAAAGGTCAAGCATGAAAACAACTAGAAAGGACAATAATAAGGTTATTATTGTAACCTGCTTACTAGTGACTAAGCCTCATTGACCCCAGTGAGATTTAACTCTGAGTAAACATGCATAGGAATGTTTCCACATCTCAAAAATGATGAATTGAAATCTAGATTTTCAACATCCTCTTGAAGACATAATGGCTTGCATCCAACAAAGTCATTCCATTGCACAACAGAACTCCCCCCCCCCATGTCCCCTGCCCCCCAATCTTCTCCAAAGGGTTGGAGGAAGCCCCAGAGAAGATTTATGGAGGGGCGGCAGGAGGAGAGGAAGTGGAAGTTTTGTTGCACAGGCAGAAGTCCTTACATAAATGGAAGTACTCATTGGATACAACCCTTGGTAATTTCATAGAACCCCCCCCCTTTAAGCATTGTTCTTCACAGCTGTGTGATCCACTAATTGTTTAATATTTGAAAGAAAAGGAAGTGTTAGGCAAAGAAAATGAGCACCTCAGAAAAGTAGCACAAGGTAGTTTGATTTCAAATCTCTTCAAACGATGGCCAAAGCTTCTGAAGTATCGCTGTATGTACAGCACTGATAAATACTTCCGTTCTGATTTCATGTTTGTTATTCTGTGACTGTTCTCAGGAGCATGAGAAATTAACTTTTCTTATAGTTTGCGGAACGCACTGGATGCTGTTCACATTAAACAGTTTTCTCTAATCTCCAGCTTGTGCTTTATTTATATGGTTATTTTTACCTTAATCGTCAAAGCAGCTGAGGAAACTATTATGCTCCAGGATTTGTTACAGTTACATAAATAAACTGCATGCTCTGTAACACCATGGGGGACAGTTCTTCTCGGAAATATCAGTGTTAAGTACATTGAATTCGGAGAATTAAATGCCTCATTTTCAATGTGTGAATTCAGAGAAATGTGCTCAAAGGCCACGTTGCGGAGTTGATGGCTCTAAAGGCTGACTAATGAAGCTGCATTTATGTGGAACTCAGAAAATGCAGCATTAGCAGCTATCCAAGGCTAGGTGTTTCTATAGAAATGGAACCTGGAGTATAGAGTACAATTGGTATTGTGCTTTTATTAAACAGCAAGAGCAAACCATCACCCACACTCCACCACACCAGAGGGGGTTTGGATGGAGAGGAAGCATCTCCTTGACAAGCAGGGCAGCTCTGCTATCAGTGGGGAAGCCCCACTGCTGAGGACCACACAAATGTGCCCACCCAAATGGCAGGTGGACAGGAGCTACAACCAGTGGTAGCCAATGGAATGCCCCCCAAACCAAGGTGTTTGGAGGGCAAGGGGGAGGGCTGTGCCGGCACGGGAACTGCTGAATGCTGTGCAGACCCTGTTGTCAGCATGTGAGTGCAATGGGCCCCAGTTGGCGCAAGTATGGATGCTGTAGATGCAGTGCTAGCCCTCCTGCTGCCAGTTAGGGGCTCAGCATTGCAGCCAAATTCTGGGCAGAAATTTAAAAAATAAGCTGAGGCACATGCACCAGAGGTACAGTGCAACTGTGACCACCCACCCCAACTGATGCCTGATAAGGTTGGACGGCGTGCAGATACCTCTCCAGTGGCTTCTGTTGGTGGAGAGGAACTCCACTGGTTGTGAGGGATGGGGCTCCCCCACAGTGGAGGCCCCAGCATCACCCAGTTGGGCAGAGAGCTACTGCCAGTGGTCCCCCCCATGGATGGTGGTCAGTAGAAAGATCTGAAATGGAGTATTTGGGGGAAAGGCCATTTTGGAGCCCTAGATCCAAAGTTCCAGAGGTTCCCCGAGGAGCACAATCCTTGAGACCCTCAGCCATGCCAGCTAAGAGCTGGTATAACTATAAGGCAGGTAGGTAGGTAGGTAGGTAGGTAGGTAGGTAGGTAGGTGATAGAGATAGATGATGATAGATAGATAGATAGATAGATAGATAGATAGATAGATAGATAGATATAGAGTAGATAGATAGATGATAGATAGATAGTCCCTTGTTCTGCCCTGGCTACCACTCCACTCTGCCCCACTGCTTCCTGGATTCAATTTCAATTGCTCTGTAAGACTGTAATACACACTTTTCTGGGAGTAAGTCCCATTCAGCTCAGTGGGGTTTATTTCTGAGTAGACATGTAGGATTGTCATGTAAGGGTGCAGTTCTAATCACACATACTAGGGAGCAAACCCCATGGAACAAATTGTGACTGACTGCTGAGTAAACACCAACAGGATTGCACTGCAGCAGGAAGATAATAACTAGGGCTGTATCTTCCATTTTCATTTTAAGAAATAAGTGTTCACTTAATGGCTTTCAAAAAGTAAATATAGCCACAGATTGCAAAAAAAAAGTATATGTTGTTGTGGTTTTGATAACTTAAAAGGGGGAAATGGGTAAATTTGTTACACAAATAAGCCTGTTTTACAGAATGGGCAAGAGCAAGCTGAAAAGTGGTTTATAAATGAACAAAATAAAACCCAGAATTCTGCCTAGTGTTTTTATGTGGAACTGTTTGAGCAATAGCCAATATCCTGCACAATAGCAACCTTTTTGAACAAATGCTACAACTCATTCCTTTCCAAAGTACATAGGAGCAATGCTTAATTAAATCAGGACTCAGAGGCATAATGTTTAATAATGCAAGGGTCCAAGCAAAAATGTGAAATAACAACAACCGTTATGATGAACTGTATAGCCATTCTTGCGAATAACAGCACCATCCTGTGCATTTTAATTCAGGAATGATTCCCAATGTGCTCACTGGGGCTTTACTCCCAGGAAAGTGCATATAGATTGTAGCCCAAGGATTTCCTCATGAGTAAACATACATAGGATTGTGACGTAAGTGTCCCAAGCATGTGATGTCACTTTGCAAGGAGGTCGAAATATTAGAGAAGGCTTCGTACATCCCTCCTAATATATGCAAAGGTGAGTTATAAGGTCGATAAAGCTCTACATCTTGTTATACATTGTCCATGATCCTATAGACTGGGCAGCCCCATACAAGGGATAAGACGACAACTGTAAAGGAGCATAAATTGCTTCCTGTTACTCTATTAGTGCCGCCAGAGAATTTTTCTCAGTGCTAAGCCAAAGTCAGGGCAAGGGTGGCATGGAACTGCCGTGTTCCTGTGCCCCTTCCAACCTTCGCTTAAGTTACTTGATGATCAAATGACAAAGGGAGATAATAAGATGGCACCTCCTCCACGCTCCCACCTTTCTCTTTCCTAAAGATCTGAAACTGCTTTTTAATAGACTATCAAATGATCGTTTAGCTTTCCAATTTTTCTTAGTTCAACTGGGGCTTACGTAGACTAAGCAGATCGCCTTGGAGGAGGAGGGGGAAATTATATTTGTGCAGCAATCTTTTGTGAAACCTTCAGGATGCTCATTTGATGTAGGATAATGTATGCAAATGGCATTTTAATATGTAAAGTCTTCCTTTTAGCAGCTAATCTTGTCTATTGCCTTGTCCTCTCCTTCACCCAAACCACCCGCCTTCTACCACATACTAGTGTCTCTTGTCTTCTATTTAAGCTCTTTGGGGAAATACATTTCTTTTTTGTGGGGTGATTTAATTATGAGACTTATATCAGCCTCACAATGTTGCTGTATTATGTAATATTCAAAGAAATACAGCCATCGGAATAAGTGGGTAATGGGCAGTTATACTAACAGGCATCCCAATAAAAGCTTAACAGGCAATCATGAACAGGCCAGCATCTCTTGCAGGGCCAGGTATGGTGTCAGGATGATGTCCCCGAAATGAATTGCTCCTGAAAAGCTCCCCTGAAAATACTATTGCTGCTGATTCCCCATTGATGCTCTGAGGACTCAGTTTATTTTATTTTATCGCCCCAATGCTCCTCAAATATTTGATCTTTGTATTTCAGTATTGACAGCCTGACACACTGCTTAGTATTTGACAGCACTTGATAGCTGAGGTGCCAAGGCACTTAGCATCTGAGAGTATTTTGTGGGCGGCCGGAACTGGTACTTAGCATTTCATACAGTTTAGTCGCTGATAGGCAATGAAGTTTGCTGTCTGACAGCTGACAGCTTATGAAAACACATATTTGAAGCTGGCCAAGACAATCAGGAAAGCCGGGGTCAGGGGTCAACATCGCTGCATGTTTGCCAAGGACCCACACGCCTGCCAGCCCCCGGAGCTCCATAGCTCTCACTGCCTGACCTGTTCGCCTGTCCCCTCTGAGCAAGTGGGCAGAGCCAAGTGCAAGCAGAAGGAGCATCAGCCTCTGCTGGTCTTGTCCTCTGCACAGCTGCGCAGACTGGGCTCCAAGCAAGAGAGGAAATAAATGAGCAGAGAGCAACAGCATAGCAGATGTGGGAGCCTGCTGAGGCCATCATTTAGGTCTGTATTTGTTGAATTCCTATTTTGCCTTTCCTCCAAGGATCCCAAGATGGCGTACGTGGCTCTCTTGCTTCTGATTTTATCCTGCTCACGACACTGCAAGGTAGGCTAGGCTGAGAGACAGGGATGGCCCAAGGCCGCATTGTGAGATTCATAGCTGAGTGGGGATTTGAATCCTTGTCTCCCACACTTTAACTACTAGAACACCCCCTCCCAAAAAAAAAACCCATCCAGAGCTGATGCTGAAATCAAGAGATGCCAAGTCTAAAACAATCACATTGCAAAGCTTGGTGGTCAACTGTGACATTTGCAATAAAGTCAGACTTAAAATTTCAAGTGTCACCTCCAAAATGGCAAATAGTTGTGAATAATTGTTCTAGATCTTGTTGTATGGAGGGGGACACTAGCACTAGCAGTGATTGTCTTTAAGGTATGGCTATTTAAGTGGGCATGACTATTTACAGTGGTCAAAGTTGCCTGACTCCAAGCACAAATGTAGGTGCCAAGGGCTTTGAAACTATATAAGCTAAAATGTAACAGTCTATCAAAATCCCCAGAGTGCCATTTTAGAATTCCTAAAGGTAAAGGACCACTGATAGTTAAGTCCAGTTGTGAACGACTCTGGGGTTGCAGTGCTCATCTCGCTTTACTGGCTGAGGGAGCCGATGTTTGTCCGCAGACAGTTTTTCCGGGTCATGTGGCCAGCCAAGGTCATTAGAATTCCTAGGTCATTCATAGTATAATGAATGAATAAACCAGCCCCAAAAGGATGCTAGCATGGTTAAACATTAGAGTCAATAGAGGGGAGCTACGCAACTTTGCTGTCCTCTCTACAGTGTGAGGCTCCGAGAGACTTAATAGTCAATGTGGCAACAAGTAAGTAAACTTGAGCAACACATGTGCATTCATTGCACACCCTTGGAAAATGGGTCATGACACTGGCACATATACAGATATCTGAGGGCATATTCCTGTTATTCACATATTCACCAATGTACTGCAGTGCTATTGCACAAAATGCATAGCCACTATTGCTATTGATATTTCGAATGTTTGCACCTATTTTAATAGATTCGCTAGCCTAGAAAAATTGCATGAAAAGAAACAAGGGGCAAAATACCCACGTATATCTTGTTTGCATTCTCGTTTTCTCTCTTGTTTTCCCCCCACTTTTTCTTTTGTGTTCCGCTCTCTGAGTGATTGTCTCTTTGCAATCTTCAGGTGGAAAAGAATTGTTGGGGGGGGGGAATAACATGTCAGGAGGGTGAGAGAAATGCCCCAGGGAAGTGGCAAATATTTCTGCAATTAACAGTGTGAAAATGGCAGATTTGTTAGCAGCGTTCATGCATTATTTAAAAAAAACCAGCTGAAACAAAAGCTGCCCAGTGTTGATTTCTCCTCGGGCAGGACTGGTTCACTTATTATTATTTTTCTGGTTTTGCTCCCTGTTAGTCTCTTTTATCTCCTTTGACATGCTGGCTCCATTTCAAGCCTCGCTTGAAATGAAAGTTGTTCCAGGCACTCGACCTGAGTGTGTCAGTGAGTGTGCTTCCCTTTTCTCTAGATTGTTGTAGCCTGTGGGACAGAATCTGCTGGCATCCAAATCCAACCGATTTAGTTCAAAATGCACTGAGGAGGAGGGGATCAGTTTCTGTTCTGCTGGAACATAGGAATGATAGTATCATCTGACTTCAGATGGGTCCTCTTGTCTATGGCCCACATCTTTTGCATGCATCTAGTGGGGATGTCAAGTTGGCTCTGCTTAAGGAGATCTGATGCCCTGTTTTGGTGCTATTGTCTTTTGTAGCAGACGCAAGCTCTCCCCGCTCTGTTCCACTCCAAACAACAGGGCCAGCAAGGCTGAAAGCTTAATACCGAAGCGTAAGGACATCTGTCAACTGGGATTTCTCTCAGGCTGTATTCAGACAGCATTTTATTCCAATTCCTTACCTGGTCATTTCCGTATTTTCTGTGATCTTTTGTATGATATAAAAGCCACTTTTGGAAATCAAGCAGATGTTTACTGTTGATTTCCACATTAATTGCTGTTTGAAATCCCATTTCAATTATGGGAATTTTGCACTGTAATTTTCACATGGTTTTCGAGGCTCACGCCATCTGGCTTTATGTCCCCAAAGCATAGGAGCTAACTCCTAGGGGCCAAGGTCCCTTTGCCTGCCCCCCAATAAAATATTTGAGCCCCCCCAGTTGATGGGCATTGGCATTCAAATGGTGTGTGTGTGCTGTGTCATATGATCAAGTATGTGGGGCGGGACTTACCTCCCCCCAAATTTTATTCAAGTTGGCACCCCTTCCCCAAAGTAGTCCCATCTAGGGCCCTCATGAGCAGACACTAGATTTGGCTGGGTAGAACAAGGTTCTCCCCCTTGTCTGCAACTGGCCTATTTCTGGGGCAAACAAAGGAAGAATGATAATGATAATGATAATGGTAATAATTTATTATTTATACCCCGCCCATCTGGCTGGGTGGCTCCCAACAGAAAATTAAAAACACGATAAAACTTCAGACATTAAAAACTTCCCTAAACAGGGTTGCCTTCATATGTCTTCTGAAAGTCAGATAGTTGTTTATTTCCTTGACATCCTTGACAGGGCAGGTGCCACTACCAAGAAGGCCCTCTGCCTGGTTCCCTGTAACCTCACTTCTTGCAGTGAGGGAACTGCCAGAAGGCCCTCAGAGCTGGACCTCAGTGTCTGGGCTGAATGATGGGGGTGGAGATGCACCTTCAGATGAAGGCCAAGACCCTGCTTTACACACAGGCAATGTGTTTTGGAGTACAAATTTTCAAAGGGATATGATCTAGTGCCAGCCATAGACTCGGATCTTCCAAGTCCACTTATCCACATGGGTAGTTCAACAACATTCAGTGAAAGAACTCACAGATACCAATGGCTTGTGTCTGAAATCCCTAGTTTGTGACACTCACTACAAAGTCTTTAGTTTTAATCCAGCAATGTCTCTCCAAATATGTCTCCTGAAGCTCTGCTCCTCTTCTTGTGGAGATGCTGTCATTGGACTGGTGGGGGAAGGAGTCACCGTAGTGATGGTGCCAAAGATAAAACTGAATAATGTAGTTGGTGTCACTCGTAATTGTGAATTTCCAGTGGACCTCAATTGGTTTAAACAGTTCTTTAATGCTACCAAGATACCTTTTGCATTTCATTTCCTCTGGGAAGAGGAGGTCAACCCTTGTTATGCTGCATATAATTTATCTGAAAGGACATTGTCAAGGTTTGGAGCTTAGAGCTGGAAACCCTGTGGAAACCCATCAGTACTATTTATCCTTAAAAAATAATATCCTAACATGCCTTAGCGCACCAAACAAGCTTAGGCTATCCAACATGCATGAGCAATCACACAAAATTAAACAAGTGTGATCTACAGCAAAAAATAAATAAAAATTCGAAACTCGGCACACAAAGAAAATGGGAGAAGAGCAAAGATGAGTTTGTGGATATTTTAAGGAACCTGAATTTTTACCACCTCTATATAGACTGATCAAATAATACTTAGGAAAGCTTCAGTATTCAACCTATGAGCAAAGACTGGAAACTTATCTTCCACACTAGTCAGCAAACATCCTTGAAGGAGCTGAGCTTATTATTCACATTGACTTGCTGTGATGTACCACCATGTCAATACATTCTGGATATATGCTATTGAAACTAGCTGTGACTGTACCTGATAATCAGCAAATGAGAGCAATTGTAGACTGAATCCAGGAAGGCAGCCAGAAGCCATTACAAGAAAAGCTATCCCTAAGCTCAGCTGATATTCATTCCTGTATGAATGGAATATTTCACTGCAGAATGAGGGGAGGGCTTGGTGAGAAGAATATGGTTATCTGGATCTGATAGACAGGTAGGGAGATTTATTTATATGACTGAATGATCCCCCAGGCAGCCGATTTTGAGTGCCACGTAAGGGCATTAAAAAAATTTGTTGTTGTTGCACTGCCTAAGAGAGTACATTTTTCTATCTCAAGTGCAAAAATAAATTGGCTAGCTTTGCATACTGTGCACACTGACTTGAGGATTTGCTATTCTGCCTCGGGCGGCAAAATGTCTTGGGTCAGACCTGTCCATAGATTAATTTTGTTTTGAATCAAGAGCAGACATTGTGGTGGGATGGCAGTGCCCACCTGGCCTCTGATGAGTTGCATTGCTACTGCTTACTGGAATGTAGGGGGGAGGCAAGGCAGAAGCAAGTCAGTATTGTGCAGATGCACCAGTGGCAGCACCAGATTAGCTGGTGCATTTGTGCTGCCCTTACCTCACCAGCAGTGGGACCAACCAGAGGTCAGATAAGCACCGCCACTCCACCACATTATCCACTACTGTGTTCTGTTTTGTATCGAATTTATAGGCTTTCAATTTCATGGGATGAAATGGAATAATCTGAGGGTGTGAATACTTTATCTCAACTCATTCTCATTGCACAACATATAACATATAAACCTCTAAAATTCTCTCCTCAGTATTGCAGCAGTCTCCAAGCTCAGATTTCCCACTAGTTTTACAATAAGATCCCCCATCCCTTTTTTCCCCCCTTTTAGCTAAAATTGGGTGGTGGTGTCCATTTTCACTTATACTGAATTTCATATGCCCTTTTCTTCTCCATTCAGCCAGTTTGGAGGAAAACATTTTGATTTTTTGCAGCCTGCTTTGGATTTTAACATCTTAAATAATTTGGTGTCATCCGCAAACTTGGCTCCCTTATTGTTCACCCATGACTTCAGATTATTTATTGGCTGGGCTCCCACCAGTTCATTTATTCCACTTAAGTGAAGACTTAATGGCTGGTCTCCACAAACATCCTTTCAAATTCCAGGACATCCAAGTTGACCTATGCAACTCATCTGCAGCAGCAATCTGGGCGGGGTGGGGTCGCTACTCTAGTTTCCTGGCAGGTGGGCCACTTTTGCTTAGTAGGAGGGGGAAGGGTGAGAGAGACTGGTGTGGTGCAAATTAAATGACAGGAGCACCATGTTGTCTCCACTGGTGTGTTCATCCACACCACACTGACCTATGTACTGCTTTGCCCCTCTCCTTCTCCCTCCTGGTACAGGACAGCGACCCACCTGCCAGGAAGCTAATGATGCAACTCCATCCCACCCTTGAGATTTAAACCAGAAACACCAATTTCATTCCATTCCTTTCCATGCTTCCCAGTTGCAGTCAGAAGGTGGGGTGGTGGCACTGACCTGACCTTCTGTCACCAGTATTGGTGTGACTTACTGGGAGGGAGACAGGAAGGAGCAAGATGGTGGTGAGGTACTGCTGGATTTTGCATCATGCCCTTGTCACTATCTCACCCATCACCCTTTCCTTCCCAGTGAGCTGTATGGATAACAGTGACAGGGGGTCAAGCACCGTATTTTTTGCACCATAACACTCACTTTTTTCCTCCTAGAAAGTAAGGAGAAATGTCTGTGTGTGTTATGGAGCGAATGCCTACGGATAGCGGGGGGATCTGCTGCAGTTGTGAGCAGAGGATCCATGGTTCCCCTTCCTTCCCTCCTCTGTGGCTCACTTTGAAACAGCAAAGTGGGAGAAGAGCCACTGAGTGGGGGGGGGAGAGGAGAGGGACAGAGAGCCTGCTTGCTTTAAAGGAGCAAAGCGGGAGAGGAGAGGAGCCTTCTCCTCTTATACCCCTCTTCTGCATTATTAACAGCATCCTTCTCCACCCACCCCACGCGTGTTCCTTGTCCCTTGAGTGCTTTTCCTTCCCTCCCCACTTAAAATGTGGTTACAAAGCACGGATCCACATGGATCCTCAGGATTTTTGCATTGGGCTACCCCAAACTCACCGTCAGATCACATGTCTGTGGCCACAGCATGAACCACAAAATCATACATCCACTGTTTCGTTTAGAATATTTTTTTTCTTGTTTTCCTCCTCTAAAAACTATGTGTGTGTTATGGTCGGGTGCGTGTTATAGAGCGAAAAATACGGTAAGTACCACCTCCTTGTTCTGCTGACTGCCACTAGTGCATCTTGCTAGTACAGGATCAAAATTTAAGTTTTCTTGCTTCTTAAAAAAATGATGCTTGAGAAAGTTTGTAGCATATTGGGGTTGGTGATAGTCACTTGAACAGTCCTGAAATGGATCAGGTTTGCCATAGCAATGAGACCATAGCAAACCTGGTCTTCCTGAATGAACCACCACAAGGAATACAACAGGGAAATTATGACGAAGCTATGATGAAACAGAGAAATGGTTTGGTTTCTTTTGAGTGGCAGTAATAGCTTCTCTGGACACTGGCTGCAAAAAATAATAATCAAGGAAAAGGAGTTAGATAAAATCACTATCAATCGTGGTGATTTGCAGATGTAATTTGAAATCAAGATGGATTTGAGTTGTTTGGTGTCTCTGGTAACTTCTCTCTCTTACATCATGGGTGGTGGCTCATATTATGGATGCATGTTCTGTATTATTTTATTGGTACAAGTTTGTCATGGTCTTTGGATGCAAAAATAAACCTATGAACTGAACTGAGCTTCTAGGTATTTATTTCAATAAATTTAAGCATTCCTTTAAAATGACAAAATGTGTGTGTGTGTGTGTGTGTGTGTGTGTCCCCTCAAGATTTTCCTGCAGTGCCTGTAGAGACAATGAAGGCAAAACAATATTGTCTGGGCTTGAATCTCAGTCTCTTCTGTTCAGATCAAACAAAATGCTCCAATTCCTAACATGCAATTTAGAAGTACAAGGACAGCCTCTTCATCTGATCATGGCAGAGAAAATGTGCAGAAGAGGGAAGGAGAGAGGAAACAGAGAACAGATCCTCCAGTGGTTTTAGTGACTCAGTGGCACCGCTTCCCTGGGTTCAGTGAGTGTTAAATGCAGCAGTGCGTGGGAAGCAGTGGAGAAGGACAAATGCTATTAGCAAAATGAAAGGGTGAGAATAAGACGCTGCTGGCCCTGTGGCTATTATAAGACAGTCTGGAGGCTTGCTTTGCTTACTGTTAGGGGGAAAGAAGGAAATGGAGCTGATTGCTCATGGATGAATGACAATCTTTTCCCTCACCCCCACCTCACTCTGATGAAGAAGTGGCACATCAGCATGCTGCTCTGGAAGAACAGCACCAACCTATGAACGATGAACTTTGTACATTTCATTATTCCATTCTACATGTAAAATTTTAAAATCCCAGTACAATTTCTAGGTTTTGTTCACTCCACTCTGAAGGCATTAGGTTAGCTCTACTACATAGTTGGCAAAGCTAGTACAGTGGTACCTCGGGTTAAAAACTTAATTCGTTCTGGAGGTCTGTTCTTGACCTGAAACTGTTCTTAATCTGAGGTACCACTTTAGCTAATGGGGCCTCCTCCTACTGCTGCATGATTTCTGTTCTCATCCTGAAGCAAAGTTCTTAACCCAAGGTACTATTTCTGGGTTAGCAGAGTCTGTAACCTGAAGTGTCTGTATCCCGAGGTACCACTGTAATTAGAATATACTGCATGCATTCTCATCCCACCCACCCCATTCTCTCTGTAGATATAGAGTTAGAGATAGGGAAGGGAGAGAAAAGCAGTCTTTGCATCACCTAGCTTGCCAGCAGTTATTCTGTCATTCCTTGCAAGTAATTGCTAGAAATTATTTTCCCATAGGTAGAGGATAGCCAGTTGTGTACATGGCTGGTGGAGGGCTGCTCTTATGCAAGGCTTGCATCTTAGCTTCTAAATGCTACTGGAGTGTCAGCAAGCTGTTTGGGAATTGACTTAGCCTGTTGCCTAGCAGCTACACCTACAGCTACAGTCACACTACACGGTCCTGTCTACCTCACCGTACAAGCAAAATGACTCAGCCAGGGCTGTGTGTGTGACAGCCACATGCTGAGGATGGTAGGAGGATGGGAAGGGGAGGGGAGAGAGGAACAAATATGAGTCCATGTGGCTTGGCATGCCGAACTTCTACACTAGTTTCCTGGCATAAGTGTTGTTGTTGCTTACTACAAGGAGAAGGTCTTGGGGAGGTTGGCATGGTGACAACACACCAGCAGGAGTGCCAGATTGGTTCTGCCAATGCATTTGCACTGCAACAACCTCCCCACTGCTTCATTCTTCCACCTCTCCCTCTCAGTTTCATCCCTCTGCCTACCTTCTCAGTGACTCACCTGCTTGGAAACTAGTGTGTCAGCTCTGTCTCACTTGACAAGCTACTTCTTAGAGTCAGAGGACACTGAAATATTGTGTGTCATTGCTTGGGGTGACTGTCACCTGCTTTCAATTCCATACAGAGAGCACAGAACAAATCTGAGGGTTTTCCAATGTTTCAAAAATAATGTTTCTTACACGGTTCATCTCCATGTTATTCTCATAACATCTCTGTGAGGTAGATTAGGGCAAGAAGTAGCAACTTTTAGACCCATTTCAGTGAAGGACAACTGGCAGCCAATATCTGGCCAATGGGCAGCCACCAGAAGGCCCACCACAGTACAAGCTGATCCATTTTTATTCAGAGTTTAATCCCAATGTCACCAGCGAGGCTTATTCCCAGATAAATATGCATAAGTTTGCAACCTTAGAACCCCTTTTCCCTCCTATTGCCAGCCTCAGGATGTCCCTATTTTCATCAGAAAAACATTGGAGGGTATCACAGTTGTTTTCATGCAGGAACAAGTATGCTCTTTCCATGGCAAGCAATATGCTTAGGACATCTTGAGGACATGGGCAATGGCAAGAGTGGGAGAGTAGAGACTTGGCCCTCACACCCACCAGGTTGTAGACCAGACAGACAGTGGCAACCTCTGGCCCTCCAGATGCTGTTAAACTCCATCTCCCATAAGTCTCACCCAGCATGGTCAATAGTCAGAAATGATGTGGGCTGAATTCCAACAACTTCTGGAGTTTCTCCATAGCTGCTGTGGAGCCTTGTCTTCTGTTGAATTGATGCTAAGTAGAGGTCAGGGAAGAGAATGTATTTCCCTGTGATATCCCATTAGGATGTTGGTAGTACAGTTTCTCGTTTCATTTCCTCACACTTTGGTTATGCTCTTTGCCAGGTCTCAGTCATTACTTTCCTAAGGCAGATTTCATTAATTAGAATATGAGTCACTGAAATACTTAAAATGGCTTGGGAATAACAAACAGGGGATTAGTGTGTCTCATAGCAATTTGCCACACCAAAAAAAGAAAGACCAATGGCCCATTTAGAATAATCTTCTGAGTCTAATACCAGCTCATACTCAAATTATCTCTGAGGTAAATGAAACACTCCCACAATGCATTTGGCTAGTTATGCAGGGTTTTTATCAAAGCAGAGAAACATTTCACACTGACCTCAGCTGAGCAGAAGCGTATGCCCAAAGTATGAGGATTGATAGACCTTTTATTTTTATCCTAGTGAGAGCAATGGTGCAGGTGCTAAAGCAATTTATTTGAGTGTCTAATTCTATTTTGAGTCTGACTTGTCTTGTCAGCTCCATAGAACCTAACAGTTCACAGGTGTTCTCAGGAACAGCTCCAGCACACTTAAAGAAATTATTGGAAGGGTATGGATTGTGACATAGCAGTGTTCTCTGCCAAAATTGGAATTCATTGGGGAATGCGGTCTTTTAAATGCAGATCTAGGGATCAGCGTTTGTGCCTGCATAACCTTGAAGCTGCACTGCAACGTGGCTCCGTATTGGTGCAGGGCTTTACCACAGGCGTGTTCCTCAAAGTAGGTGAAAAGGAGAGGCTATGTGGCAAGGTGTCAAGAGTGCCAGACAAGGAATGACTTTCCAAACCCTCCCACTCAGCCATGAAACCCACTGGGTGACTGTGGGGCAGCCACTCACTCTCAGTCTGGCCTACCTCACTGGGCTGTTGTGAGACAAAGGGGGGATAGCTGTGTGAACACTGTCCCAAGCTCCTTGGAGGAAGCAGGGGACAAGAGTTTAATTAATTAATTAATTATCGGAAGGTACATCACATGCTTGTGCACACAGAAGATCCCAGTAGCAACTTCAGTGACAAGGATGACTGGAAAGATCTCTTCCTGAGGCCATAGAGCTCTCCTGCCAGTCAGAGAAGGCAGCACACCGTTGTAGGTGGACTTATGGCCCATATAAAGCAGCTTCAGTGGGGCCCATGTAGAATCATAGAATTGTATAGTTGGAAGGGACCCCAATGGTCATCTAGTCCAACCCCCTGCAGTGCAGGAGTCTCAACCAAAGCATCCATGGCAGATGGCCATCCAACCTCTGCTTAAAACCACCTAGAAAGAGGATTCTACAACCTCCCAAGGAAGACCGTTCCACTGTCGGACAGCTCCTACTGTCAGAAAGTTCTTCCTCATGTTTAGCCAAAATATCATTTCTTGTAACTTGAAGCCATTGGTTCCAGAGGGTACTTTGCAGTTTGCACTAATTTTCTGTGCTGTGCATTATATCTACATAGATTTCTAGGCACAATTTATTAAGTTTGTTGCTTATTAATTTTTTTAAGGCTACCATACAAACCATGGCTTCTGCTAAACAACAACTTAGGCTGCAACCCCAGACACACATCCTAGGGCGTAACCCTCACTGAATTCAGTGGGACTTGCTTCCACGTAAACATGGCTGAGGCTGCACAAAAGGATAACAAAGTGCTCCATAAAACATTGCTCATCTTATTTATTTCATTTATATTCCACCTTTCCTCCAAGGAGCTCGGGTAGCATACATGGTTCTCCTGCTCCCCATTTTATCCTTGCAGCAACCTTGTGAGTGACTGGCCCAGCGAGCTTCACGATTTGAATCCTCGTCTCTCAGGTCCTAGTCTGGCACTACACCATACTTAACACTCCCTCCCCAACCTTCTCTTTTCTATTTAAAAACCAGAACTGAGTTGAAAAACCACAGGCTTGAGAATGTCAGAAAATAATAAAATATGCCTTTTACCTAGTCCAGCTGGCAAGTCAAATCCCACAAAGTCAAACAGTCTGGATTTCTTATTAAGGTAGGAATTGCTCAGCCAAAGGAATTTTGGGTTGCTGGTTTGTGTGTGTGTGTGTGTGTGTGTAAAAACGTGGGTACTTTTATTTCTTGTCATTAGTAGTACACCCTGATCATACCTCCCCCCTCTGTTTTTCTCCTCTCTTTTTCTATGAACACAGAATGTATTGTGATGCTTCAAGGGCTCACCAAAGGATGGAGCCAGCCCCTCTGCATGCTTGCGTGCTTCTATTGTGCCAGAGCCATCTCAGCTATTCCAAATTCTGCGCCGCAGCCAGAGGTGATCACACCAAAGAAAGAAGGCGGGCTGGCGATAGGGACTGCTTGCCACGTAAGATCAGCCGAATGGTAATCCGACGGGATGGAATTAACAACACTCCAGTGCTCACGCGAAAAATTAAAATGAACGCCACAAAGCCAGAGACAAGCCACCCACACAAGACAAAAAAAGGTAGCTGCCCAGGAGAAGCCATTGTAGAGAGAGAGATTAAATCCGCAGGGTTGGGAGGGAAGCAGTGGGAGCAGTAAGAGCATAAGAGAAGGCGTCACAATGATGGGTGTCGAGTTCTTCAAAGCCGTTCTTCTCCACTTTTCTGTCAGAACCAAGGAGGGCAGAGCCATTGAGAGCTAAATGGACCCGCTAAGGATTTTATTGATTGATTTAATGGAATTTGTACACTGCTTAATCATCAAAAACCTCTAAAGCACTTCAGTCTCTCATTCAGTCTCTGGCACTAGTGCCATCAGGGCTAGCCAACATGGCGCCTTCCAAGGGTTGTTGGACTACAACTCCCATCCGTCCCAGCCAGCATGGCCTATGGCTAAGGATGATGGGAGCTGAGGTCCACAACATCTAGAAGGCACCATGTTGGCCACCGCTGGATGACAGAGGGTGGAATTCAATGTCACGTTCTTCCAAGTGTTCTGTCTGTGTAAGCATTTCGGGCTGCAAGACAGAATGATTCCCCCTCAACTCCCTCCACATGTTGTTCTGGTTGAATGCCCCTACCAACCAATTGTGGAGGGTGCAGGGGGGGTTAAATCCCATCACACATGTGGCAGTTCTTGTGCAGGGCTTCCATTAGCAGTTCGAAAGCACATCAGTGCAAGCAGATAAATAGGTACCGCTCTGGTGGGAAAGTAAAAGGTGTTTCTGTGTGCTGCTCTGGTTTTGCCAGAAGCGGCTTAGTCATGCTGGCCACATGACCCGGAAAAACTCTGTGGACAAACGCCTGCTCCCTCGGCCAGTAAAGCGAGATGAGCGCCGCAACCCCAGGGTCTTTCGCGATTGAACTTAACTGTCAGGGGTCCTTTACCTTTACCTTTTAGAACAGCAGTTTTAGGTTTTTCACAGCATGGTGATGAACTCTGATACTTGCTAATGTCTGCAGATCTAGCTTCCGTTAAAGACACAGGAACCGGGAGCCGTGAAAACCTCAGCAACCCTTTAATGCAAATTGGACATACATCCAGCTTTATACTGCAGAATTGCTTGTGTACTGGCATTGTACAACAGGCACATGAATGATGGTCGCTTTTTCCTTCCTGTGTTTTCCACGCAGCACTTAGATGACAGCACAGATGGTGACTGCTTCCTGACAAGAAACATGTCCATTAAAATGACTCATGAAGATAAGAGATCGTTCTAATCATAGGGCACAGACAGGACTAATTTATTATAGAAAGGGATTTGCTTTGCTAAAGGCTGCTTGAAAGGACCGCATCTTCCAAAAAGCTGGCGGTGAGAGCTATACCATAATATAGACATTCTGGTGGTTAATTTACCGAAGTATGGAATGCTGGTAAAAACAACAACTGATCAGCAACAGAGTTAGGGTCAAACTGGACGTGACACTAAGGAGAGCAGCTGGGTTATAAAAAGCAAAAGAAGTTAATACTATGCATGGAGGGGAGGCAATTTTTATTGGATTCACAGTGCAAGGGGGGGGGGGGGAGATTCAACCCTCTTCTCAACCAGTAGGAAGGAGTGCCACTACGCACCTCCAAGCATCCTGCTTTTCCAGGGACAGCCCCGGAACTGTGGAAGCCAACCTGGCTTCTGATTTGATCCTGGAATGTCCCTATTTCCCCTGCTAGCGCTGTCACCACCGATCTCGGGGAGGAGGATAAGCCGGGTGGCTATTTGTCCTAGGCCATAGCAGCTGTGGCTGTTGTTGTGAGGGAGCACGCCATGACTTCTCCATGGCTGCTGCTGCTGGCTTCCTCCCTTGGGTAGCTCATAGCGGCTGCTAGAGAGCAGGCAAGGAGGAGAAGAGGCTGCCACTGCTGAGGCCCCGCCCTGCCTGACTCCAGCACTCCTGACAGTGTGTTTGCTCCTCGCCGAACTCCCTGCTGCCTCTCCTTGCAGGGAGGTGGTAGTGATGCCACTGCTGGGAGGCCCAGTGTGTGGCCACATCCATCCCTGCAGGCCAGGCCTGGAATCCAGCTTTTCTCATGAGGATAGGCTTCCCCCTTTTCGTTTTGTTCCAGCAGGGTCCCTGTCCCTAACCTGCCTCACATTGTTGTTGTGAGGATGAAGTGGAGAAGGACTGCATGCACGATCCTAAGCTCCATGAAGGAAAGATGGGCAGATAATGCAGTAAGAAATAGGAAACAGCCAAACACCTGTGTTGTTGTGCATCTTCTCTCCCCCCCACCACCCTTTTGACAAACGGCATAATGAAATGTCAAAGCACCTACTTAGCTGCATTTTATCTCCCTTTCTTGTACGTCAATCATGTGTGACAGGTCAGCCAAAAGCAGGGAGATGCCTCCCATGCTCCTTTCCGAGTCTGATCTCATTGCCATGGATACTGCTGCCGACTGCAATCGCTCCGGCATTATGTCCGGATTTCCTCACAGGTGCAGATTTGATGCACATAAAAGAATAGAATTTAATTTCCAAGCAGATGCTGTTTATGGAAAGTGACTGTGAAGAGCCTGCCTTTGCTTGGGGTGATGCTTTAGCTGTGCTGCCTCCGATTTTCTTGCAATTACTTCATAACGTCTAATTTTTATTTAAAAGTCTGCTATCAGATTGCTCTTTCAGGCTACAACGTGCAGAACTCTTGGATAAATGCCCGGTTTTTTTCTTATCTGCTTGGCTTGCTTTCAGGTTCAAAACATGACTCCTTGGTAAGTCACAAACAGGCATTTGGAAGGCACATCTCTCCCTTAGTTTCTGCTATCTTCCTTCTGTGAAGAGATGGCCTTTAATGACCTGGAAAAGGGCAAGGCAGATAAGGAGCTCAGGGATGCCTGCGACCTCCCAACATTTGCATAAATGTTAGCTATTCGAAATAGTCAGGGGAAGGAGAATCAATATAATTTGAGTATCTCTTCATCTGGGTTGGCCCAAATAACTGAAAATCTACTGGGGAAACCAGCCAAAATTTGACTTTTTGAGGTGGGGTGGAAGGTGGGTCATGAATACCACTGAGAATAAGTCATGTGAAGCTCCTGGGTGCATACAAATTTGTTTCAAATATACATAAACCAGGAACGGACAAGTTTAACAACACATTTCTTCTATTCTTCCTCCCTTTCCCTCTACAGATACTCATCTTGAGTATTTTGATAATCACTGGATTTCTATGGGTAGGCACCAACCACTATCATCTTAACAGCATCACCTCAAGTCTTATCCTTTCACATGCATTTGATGACTTAAATATACAATATTCAAAGATGCAACTAGCTGTGATGAATGATGATAATGATGAAAGACGATAATGATACTTAACACTTCTACAGCACTTTCAAAGTATTTCATATGGTTACAATCATGATCACAACAACCCTGTAAGGTATGTCTGAATTGCAAATGAAGGACTTGAGGCTGACAGAGTGGCTCGGTTACCTAGGCAGATGAATAGGCTGAGAAAGAATAATTTGTCAAGAGTGTTGTGATGTTTTGCTACAATAGCTATAGAAGGCCAGGGTTTAATTTGAGCAAAGTCTCACAACATAGGCACCGACTCCTGGGGGCTGAGACAGTTTCAGCTCCCCAAATGTATCTTTTGAGGGGCCAGTCCTCCTCTTATTTTCAGATTGCACTTGGTTCTGCCCTGTGGCTCCTCGCAACATCGTGTGACATCACATTGCCCCTCCCAATCCTTTGGAGAAGCTGGCACCTCTGTCTCACAAAGACTCAGCCCCATTTCAATTCCAGGACTGATAGTCAAACTACACATTACATGACTTGCATGGCTAACACAGCAGTTGTGACTAACCCTCCCCCCCACCCCAGTGATCATCCCAACAAAAATTGAACCACCACTATCATGCACTGTAGCTAGCCTTAGCAAAAAGCTCTCACTGGTTCTTTTAAAACATGTGAACTAACAGCAAAAGTAGTACTCCAAAATAATTAAGAATTACCTGCCCAAATGGGAGGGGATTGGAAGTATTTATATTTATTAAATTTGTACACTGCCCTTCATCAGGAACACCTAAACACACCATATCACAAAGGAAGCAATATTATGTCTACATTTTCATTATGGCCAAGTGACACATTTACTTATTTATTTATTAAAAAATATTTATAAGCTGCCTTCTAGGGCAAAGCCCTTCCCAGACAACTTCCAACAATTAAACCAGAAAGCAAAATAAGAACTAAACAACAGTAAATAAGAATAACATTAAAAATTCCCAGCCCTGAGTGGCCAACTGCCTACTGTCAAAAAGAGGACAAGCAAGACCAAAAAGAAAAGAAAAGAAAGGACAAAAGGAGTGCTGATTTGCATAAAAGTTGCACAGAGTATTATAGATGCACATTTAGAAATAATTATTATAATTTAAATAGAAATATCATACACCTCAGCATCATGGGGAAGACTGGCTGTTGCCCAGAGGCTAATAGCCGATGACCGACTTCAAGGCCCTTCCTCTTCTCCCTTCTTAGGGTTCTATATCTTTAAACCAGATTTGGACCCCATAGCTTTTCACATTGAGGACATCCTATCCTGTGTAAAGTCACTTGTCCATTCTAGATCAGTAGAACAGCTGCAAAAAGCTACAAATCAAAACAAAACATCACTAAAATACCTAGTTAAAATCCTTCCAGAGAATGCAGCAGGAAACAAATGAATTTTAAGACCCCCTTAAGTAAAGGTAAAGGTACCCCTGCCCGTACGGGCCAGTCGTGTCCGACTCTGGGGTTGTGCGCCCATCTCGCTTCAGAGGCCGGGGGCCAGCGCTGTCCGCAGACACTTCCAGGTCACATGGCCAGCGTGACAAGCTGCATCTGGCGAGCCAGCGCAGCACACGGAAACGCCGTTTACCTTCCCGCTAGTAAGCAGTCCCTATTTATCTACTTGCACCCGGGGGTGCTTTCGAACTGCTAGGTTGGCAGGCGCTGGGACCAAGCAACGGGAGTGCACCCCGCCGCGGGGATTCAAACCGCCGACCTGACGATCGGCAAGTCCTAGGCACTGATGTTTTACCCACAGCGCCACCCGCGTCCCAAGACCCTCTTAAAAGACCACAATTTGTCTATTCCTATATTTGTTGCAATCTCCATTGCTCTCTATCACTGCGAGGAAACAGACCCTGTAAAGAAGCCACTGGCAGCACTCCCTGCCAGGAAAGTACTGTAAGGTTTTTGCATCTGCATGCAGTACCCTAAATTCACCTGTCCCCCTTCCCTTCTCAAAAACGTGTTACAGGTCTCAACCCGACTACAAGTCCTGCTCTGCGTCTGTTTTAGCATGCAGGCAATTCCAAACATCTTACTATAGTTTGACACATTAAGCAAGCTTCCACCTTCAGCTGATTCTCTACAGCAAGACAAGCAGCTCTGGAGACGAATGAGCTTGGTGCAAAACAGAAGATATTGTAAGCCCAATAAACAGAGCAGCAGATTAGTTGTAAATCTGTTGCAGTTGTGTGTGTGTGTGTGTGTGTGTGTGTGTGTGTATACACAGTGGTACCTCGGGTTACATACGCTTCAGGTTACATACGCTTCAGGTTACAGGTTACAAACTCCGCTAACCCAGAAATAGTACCTCGGGTTAAGAACTTTGCTTCAGGATGAGAACAGAAATCATGCTCCGGCGGCATTAGCTAAAGTGGTGCTTCAGGTTAAGAACGGCTCTCTGGAACGAATTAAGTATGTAATCAGAGGTACCACTGTATATATAATAAAAACCGTCAAAGCCTACCATGAAAGTTTGAGGTTCCTTTGGCATGCCTAGCTTTTCCGATGCCGAAAGGATCCCATTCAATAATATGCTTCTGATCATAAAACTATATGAAATTGGCCCCTGTGTGGCCCACCTGTGTTCCAAGTATGCAGCAGCCAAGAGTTTATTTATTTATTTTCTACACCTCTAGCAGTACTAAAGCTATAGCCATAGAAGAGGGGGGTTGATGCATTTCTGGCCTGCCTTTGCTCATCAGGTTTGGCTCTGATTCCAGAATCTTACCAGGGAGATGATGAGCAGCACGAAGCAGAAGGCACAGCTTGATGTTCTAGCTCTCGCAACTCCAACAGTTTGAGAGAAATCCTGTTTTGACTTGTCTGCTGAGTAAATATGATGTGTAAGTCTCAAAGGGAGAATAAAACAGCACAGGCTGATCCGGTGTTATCATTTTAAGACGCTTGCTTGAGGAGGGATTGTTTTAAAGGAAGGGGTTTCCAATTAGAAAGATGCCTAGGACATGTTTTCTAGCTCATTTCGTGTCTTCTTTCATATTTAGCTGGTACTTCATGTTAGATCAAAACACAACATGACACCTTCTTGACTAGTGATGGCAAAACAGGAGGGGGGGGAAACCCCACACAGGCATTCTGCTCAGCTAATACCCAGAGTCTGACAGACTGTTATGCCAACTAAATCCAGATTATGTATAAACTCAAATATACAGTGCTAACTTGGTTCTCAAACTTAATCCATTCCAGAAGTCTGTTCCAAAACCAAGGTGCACTTTCCCATAGAAAGTAATACAAAATGGATTAAATCCGTTCCAGACTTTTAAAAACAACCCCTAAAACAGCAATTTAACATGAATTTTACTATCTAACGAGACCATTGATCCATAAAATGAAAGCAATAAACAAATCCATCAGTAGCTGAGCTGGGTTCCACATAGTGACAAAAACAAAAAGAGACGCAAAAACAAAAACACTAAAGAAATAGCAAAAACAGACAGACCTCAGCGTAACACTCAAAACGGAAGTGTGGCACTCAAAATGGAGCATGTTCGGCTTCTGAAAAAGGTTCGCAAACCAGAACACTTACTTCTGGGTTTGCAGTGTTTGGGTTCCAAGTTGTTTGAGTACCAAGGCATTTGAGAACCAAGGTACCACTGTAGGTGACTTTTGTGAGAGGACAACTCCTTTCCCAGTTTTTGCTGCATATATCTCGGTTCTGTTTTATTAGGAAGGTGTGGCTTTCCTTTAACAGCCATTGGCCATTTGAAGCTTCTGCTTAACCTAAATTAAATTCAATACAGGAGGCAGGAACACCTAATTTCAAAAGTTTGATATTTTCTGTTTAACAGTTTTATTTATTTACTGGGACATTTATAGCCTTTCCACTTCAAAAGGAACCTTGAGGCAGCTTAGAATAATAAAATATAAAAGCACAAAGATCCAGTTATGGGGAAGCTACTCTACCCCAATAACACATGGATCAGGCCTGTGAAGGTAGCAGGAAACGTTGTTTTAAAAACTATTGAGATTTTTATACATTTTGTTAAATATATCAAATGTATCAATCACCTTTCCGTATTATTGTTTGCATACTGTTAAATAACTGTTCTTTCCTTCTTATTTTTTGCAGACTGTTAAATGTATCAAATATATCAATCACTTTTCCCTATTATTGCTTGCATACTGTTAAATAACTAAAACGAATAATAAAAAATCTATTCAGCTTCTGGGGTTCTTTTGGATAGTATTGCAAAATGCATTCCAAACTACAAATAGGAATCAGATATAGGCATTTGGATTTTACAAGGCCTTTTGCTTAACCCTGGGATCCCCAATGTGGCAACTGCTGGCATTATAGAGCCTACAGACCATCAAGACTCCCTACTCTCCCAATTTATTTATTTTTTAATTTGGGGTGTTTTTTGTTTTTGTTTTGCTTTTTCACTTGGTGAAGGTGCTTGTTCCTTGAGCTGTATTGCCTAATCTTGTGTGTGTGTGTTGTGGGGGTGGGAAATCTGAGCATCTCCAGGTTGTTGTTGTTTTTTGTGGGGGGGTTTTGGTGAAATTGTTACTTTTGTTTATTTGTTTAAGAGTCCAACTCTCTTAACCACTGCACCATATTTCCACAATCATTTCTTAGATTTCCACATGTGTCTCCAGGTGCAAATAGTTTCAGAACCCCTGGCTTAGTCAATGATGCAGCATGCTAGACAGTTTATAACTCTAGTATGTACTATAGGTGATTTACGTGTGCCATTTCTGTAAACAGGCGCGTCCCACTGTGCAACCCCCAATTATTTTCCATGCTTTATTCCAGCTGAAGGTTTTCCATATCTGGACACAAACATTTTCTATAAAAGACAAAGAGCAATGAGAGATTCAGCCAGAACCAGCAACTCACACTTAAGTCCTAGAGGTCTGTTTGTGCATCACAGCCTTTCTGTCCATGCTCAGTAAAATTCAAACCAGTATCCAAAGATCTGCCACAGTGTGTGGG